CTCCTCCTCCTCCTCCTCCTCCTTCTCCTCCTCCTCCTCCTGCCTCCTGCCCCTCCTTCCTCCTCCCTTCTCCGCCTCCTCCTACTCGCCTCCTCCTCCGCCTCCTCCTCCTCCTCCTCCTCCATCCTACTCCTCCTCCTCCTCCTCCTCCGCCTCCTCTCCTCCTCCTTCCTCCTCCTCCTCTCCCCTCTCCTGCCTCCTCCTCCTCCTCCTCGTCCTCCTCCTCCTCCTCCTCCTCCTCCTCCTCCTCCTCCAGCCGTTCTGGCTCAGGTGTCCTGAGCTTGCTGCGGCAGACTTCAGAACGGCACCGCCGCAGCGAGCCATTGTGGCAGTGAGCTCCTGCAGGAGCACCCCATTTTGTTGAGACGGAGAACACGAGTGTTGTGTGGGCGAGGTCGAGAGGATCTCCCCGATGGCGCTCATGGCGGGGCCTGTACTACCAGGCCCCCGCAAACCCACATGGGGGTGCCCATCCTGTGGAGCGTCGGCGAATTGGGCGAGCCGCATCAAGTGCAGATGCGGACAGGATGCGCCGACGGCATTCATCCAACGTGCGAGGAAGGCTGCGAGGGAGGCGACGCAGCAGCCTGCGTCAGCGCCTCGCCGTGCATCACAGTCTCCAGCGCCGTGGAGTGATCAGTACAAGCAGATGCAGAAGCAGATGGAGTTTCTTTCAGCTGAGCTCAAGAGAGTCAAGGCTGAGAAGGGTGGTGCGGCCAAGCCCGACGGAGTGGACACGCAGCCCAAGGACTCCAACGGTAACGAGACGGACTACGCCAAGAGAGCTGCGCTTCAGAAGCGCATTGATGTACTCGACCAGTTCATCAAGCAGACGAAGGAGCTGGACGAGGATGATCCCGACTTGCCAGCGGCAAAGAAAAGGTTGGACCAGCTTCGTGAAGAGCATAGAGCCATGCGCCCGCCCGTGTCGGCACACAAGGCTGCCTTTCAGAAGCTCGAACGCTGCAAGTCGCAGAAGACGAAGATGGAGAATGAGATATCGGAACTATCGGCAAGGTTGTCATCACTTCAGAATGAGTTGGATGGCAAAAAAGCTGCACTCGAGGCGAAGTCGAAGGAAGTTGATTTACTTGAAGTGGAAGTTGAAATTTCGGCAGCCAAGTTGCGTAAGCAACGAGGCCCCAGAGGAGCTGAAGCTGCAGGAGTCCCTGAGGATTTCATCAAGCAGCTGGGCTCCAACCTCATCCTTGCCGAGGACGCCGAGCTTGAGAAGTTGTTCAAGGACCTCAGCGTACACCCGAAGTTCGAGAAGTTCCAGAAGATCATTTTCGAGAGCGTTGCCCCTGCAGGGACGGTTGACGACCCCATGGAGGGCATGCCTCATGCTGGGTCTGTGTCTCCTCCTGCTGCTGAGCGGCCTGCAGGTGGAGGTGCTGGTGAGAAGCGACCACTACCTGAGATCGATCTGTCTGAGTCAGAAGCTGGAGAGTTGTGGACAAAGTTGCAGCAGGAGAGCGAGGAGACACGACCTGCCAAGCTTGCGGAGATGGTCAACGAACTCCAAAAGAAGAAAGTTCGCAGAGTTGGTGATGATCAAGAGGACCTTTAGCAACCGTCCATTGGTGAGTGGATTATCTGTTGTTCAAGGTAAGACGCGTGCTGCTCCCGTGCCACGAACTAGCCAGCAGCAGTCCCGTTTAGTTGAAACGTTCAATGCCAATCAAGGTCGTGAGACATTGAAGCGCAGATTGCAACGCACCTCAGCCATAATCGTATTGGTACAGGAGTTGGGTTATTTTTCGCACAATGCGGAGGAGATTTCCTCTTGGGCTGGTAGACGTGGATGGAGTGTTATCATTGAACCAGGACATGAGACCAAGGGCCATCTCCCTTCTGCGGGAGTTGCTGTTTTCGCCCGTGCTGAAGTTGGTCTTCGACGTCCTCAAGTTGATGGTCAGACTGTTTCTGGCGTTCTGGTCGCCCACAGGGCGCTACATGTGGTGGTTGATGTACCAGGGTGGCCAGAGATGCATATTTTTAATATGTACCTTCATTGTTCTGAGGGCTTGACCGTACGCAACTCAAGGATACTTTCTTGCATTGGGCAGTCCCTCGCTGGGCTCACATCGCCTAGTATCATTGGTGGTGACTGGAATCTCGACAAGGCGGTACTTGAGTCTTCAGGGTTCGCTAGGGCTGCCCAAGTGCAAATTGTTGCTCCAGCATCGGTCACGTGCAGAACGGCAACATCGACGAGTACGATTGATTTGTTTTGCCTCAGTGTGGGTGCACATCGCTTATTGAAGCAGATAAAGGTTGATGCTACGTGGGAAACCAAGCCACACCGTCCTGTGCAAATCGAACTGGCTGCTGATGGACATCGACTTCAGATACTGACGTATGCTGCAGCCCCAAAGCTTCCCACAACCGCTGTGTTTGGGCCTGCCCAGCAGGACTTTGATTGGTCAATGGAGCGTAGGTATGCTTCCACAGCGGTTGAGATGGCCAAGGAGTCACCTTCGGATGCTGCATGGGGTTTTCTCACCTTGGCTTGGTGAAGTTTCATCACCAGAGCTGCTGAGAGAATTGGCATCATGACGGGTGAGGAAGTCAAATGTCCTGGCTCGTACGCGCGCTGCATCAAGCCGAAGTGGGTCGACGTAACTTACAATGGCAGTGATGCGGTAGGCCTTGCTGCACAAGCGGACGGATGGAAGTGGCTTTCGGATGCTCTTCAAGGTCTCAGTCTGTTGAAGCAGGCATCCAGCAATGGCGATGAGGAGAAAGCTGCGATGCTTGACGACGAGCTGATGCTGTTTCAGACGTCACCGTATCCTGGGGTGCATTTATGTTCGAGATTGGATGCAGGTGTGACGCAGGCGAGGCGATTGGTAGAAGGTCGATTCTTTCCAGAACAGATTGCTGAATTCCTTGAGGAGATTGATGAGGACGTCGAGTTTGCAAAGCAGGCTGCTGGGAGAGAATCTCAAAAACGATGGCAGAATTGGTGCGATCAAGCTGCAGCAGGAGGCGCACGAGCTTTGCACAAGATTACGCAGTATAATCAGGTCAACGAGACGACGGTGGTCACCGCTGACGGGCTTCCGTCGGCACATCCACACGTTGTTGTCGAGACAACTGCAGATGAATATCGATCGTTGTGGGATGCCAGCTCTGAGGCGCCCAAAGCATGGATACCAGACAGGAGTTCTTTCCCGAGGGCAACTGCTGCTGACATCAGGGCCGTTGCTCAAACGTTTTCCTCATCAACTGCAGGGTCTCTGGACGGACTACATCCTAGACACCTGCTGCTCTTGAGCGATGAGAGCCTCGACATCCTCGGCATGTTGTTCGAAGCTTTCGAATCTTTGGGAATGTTACCGAAGCAGATGTTATGGATTTGCATGCCTATGCTTCCCAAGCCGATGGGAGGACATCGACTTATAGTTCTTTATGGATCGGTATATCGCGCATGGCAAAGGCTTCGTCGACCTGAGCTTGCACCACTTCAGCAGTTTCTTCGCCGTGTGTATTGGGGGGCCTCGTCGGGCCGCTCCGCTATCGATTCTGCGTGGCAGGTGGCTGCTCGTGTCGAAGCTTGCGTACACGACAAAAGGAAGAGCTTGCAGATCATTGCTGACTACAGCAAGTACTATGAGACCATTGGCTTAGTTACGGTGAGGGAGAAGTTTTCTAGATATGGAGCACCCACGTGTTTGACGAAATTGTTATTCAACACTTGGTCGGCACCAAGAATCATTCGATTAATGCGGCACCATTGTCTTCAACCAGTTCACGCTCGTCGAGGATTCCCAGCGGGCGATGCATATGCGGATGTGGGGATCAAGGTACACGCATTGGAGGAGTACGACAGTTTCGTGGCATTGCACAGTGAGCTGCATTTTTCTTCGCACATTGACGACAGCAGCCTCGGCATCGAAGCGGCTACTACAGATGAGTTGATCGAGATGGCGGTGAGAGTTGGTCGCAGTTTCCAGACGACAGCTTCAAAATTGGGGGCCAAGTTTAATAACAAGCTCTCAATCGTATGTTCTGAATCTGGAGTTGGTGATAAGGTTGCTGACAAATTGGGGTTTGATTCTTCTTCCAACAAGCGAGCAGCTACGTATCTTGGAACAGATCAGGCTGGTGGGAGATCGAGGCGAGCTGCAGCCACGCGGAAGAAGCAACAGATTCGACGTCGACGTTTTCAACATCGGATGAAGAAAATTGCTCGGTATCGAAAGGCGATTCCCACCAAGAAGTACGAGAGGACAGGCAAAATCTTCAGAACAGGGGCGCGACCAGCCCTGACGTTCGGTGTGGAGATCACAGGCCTGTCAGATTCCGAATGGAGTGCATTACGTAGACAGTTCTTTCAGTTCGTGAAACCATGCCATGGTGGAATTTCGGCAAGTGCAAAGGCTGTACTCTTTGATGATCCTTCAGCGCGTCAAGCACTTGCCCCAGCTCTGCAGTGGTCAAGAATGATATGGCAAGCAGTTCTGGCACCGGATACGGCATTAGTTTCTTTGGATCAGCTCCGAACGTGGTGGACACAAGCTTTGCAGGATCGCCTGCTTGAGGATCTAGTGTGGGCGTCTTCGAGAGGACCCCTTGAGCGAGCTGCTCTTTGTGTTCGCAGGGCCGGTTGGACAATCAAGCAGTGGAATGCCTGGCTTGACCATCGCGGAGTTGAAGTGCCACTGCAACAATTTACACCAGGCATGCTGGAGAAGCGAATGATCGAGTCATTACAGAGACAGTTGGAGCTCGACTTGGCTGCCAAGAGAGGGCTACCAGCTGGAATGCGATCAAGTTATGATATTCTTCGACCGTTCGTGAGAGAGAAGTATTCGAAGTTCACCGCATACCAGAAGTTCCTGGTCAAATCCTTTGCGCTCGGTGGTATATGGACACGTGAGCGGGCGAGATGCAAAGGTTATGAGACGGACGGTCGTTGTGATTGCGGAGCTCCAGATACGGTACATCATCGTTTGTTCACTTGCATGAGGGGTGATGTGGTGGCTGCCAGAAGTGCTTCTGAGGTACCACCCGAATTCATCCAACGCGGCATTGATGAGCATAGCTCGGGGTTTTTTGAGCATGGAGTGTTTGAATATCTCGACGAGGAGATTCCACAATTGGCACCTGGTCATGAAGCTTTCGTCGTGAATATGGCCGGCGAGGTGCAGGATTTGAACCCTGAAGAGATGGTGGAATCTGCATGCCCAGAGGCGCAGGTGATCGAACTTGCTCCCGATGGTTCTTGCAGCAAACCTGCTCTTCGTGATTTACAGAGGGCTGGGTGGGCAATAGCATTGTTGAACCCGTCTGGCCCAGATCCGATTCTTGCAGTATATGGGGCTGTTCCTCCCGCTCTGCCCCAGACATCAGTGGTTGCTGAGTATATGGGATTGGCTTTTAGTGGCCAAGTCGCAGATCGGCCTGCAACCATGCATTTTGATTTCCTTGGCGCAGTCTTCGAGGCGCGGAAGTCTCCTCAGCGCCAGAGAGAATGACGTTCCATTTATGCATGTGTTCAGGTCTTTGGTCAGAGCCTTCCTGGTCGTGAATATCTGACAGCAGCAGAACATGTTAAAGCACATCGCACGAGCGAACAATATGCTTTGCTACATGTTGAACAGAGGAGAATAACAGATGCGAACATTGCTGCTGACAGGTTCGCGAAGATGGCTGTTTCTCTTCACCCCGCTCCTCGTCATGAATTCTGTAAGCAGATTGAGCTGCACGAGGAGGCGACGAGGAACCTCGTGCGTCTCATATCCGCCACCCTGCCCTGCTACGAGAAGGAGGAGAGGTGGAGGAGGGCACCGATATTCAAGAGGAGTAGAACATCATGATTGGTGTAGGACGGAGTTAGGAGCTCAGTGTAAGTATTGCCTCTCTGTTCTGCATGACAATGCTGTCGATTGGCCCTTAGTGGGCTGCAGGGGAACCCCAGCTTTCCTCAGTGCGTTTTTCGCTCGGCCGAACGGCCACTGTCTTGTTGCTGTGCACCAGTCTGGCGAACGGTGCGAGTCGGTCTCGGATAGTGTGGACCGACCTGTTTTTGTTTGTACGAAATGTGGAGCGTGGGCCCAACAGAGGCGCCGTCTCAAGTTGAGGTCACCTTGCATCAGGCCGACGCCCAAGGGTCTTGAGATTCTTCGGAACCTGAGGCGGGGCGTCGGGCCCCATCGCAAGCTCCAGCGCTCCATCGATTCTGTGATTCCTGCCGTCCGAGTGGCGCCCACACGTCGCGTCCCTCGGAGAGAGACGACCAGTGTCTCCGCGAGGCCCAACCCAGCCTCTTCGTATCAGTACGAATCACGGCTGGCGGCACTCCAGGAGAGAGTGCGCCAGCGG